TCCCTAATATAGTCCGTAAGAAGGAACCCATGTCGATTAATTACCTGGGTAGTACTGACTGTAGATCATATGATCTTCATTATAGGTCTCCTGTCCTTGACTTAGCTATATAACCCATTTTAGTAGTTACCATTTTCTTTTCCATTCCTTCATTCCCAGCCAACCAAAGGTAAGTCAAACGTTTTAAAACCCTGAACCCTAAACCCCAGGTAGTAGTTTCCATTTTCTTTTCCATTATGACTATATAACCCTTATAACCCTAAACCCTAAACCCTATATATCCCCTATAGGAACCCTAAGTCTACGGGATTACAGCCTCACGTGTCCGAACCGAGGGGGAAGGCCTCCGGTCTTGTGGCCCCTGCTTTGAAGGGCCCCTGCACGTCGCTTGACAGACATTAACTATATGATGCTTTGGGATTTAGGGGTCTAGGGGCCACTTCTGGATTATCATTCACCTCCCTGAAAGTCTTAAACTCCCAAACCCCGAATCTAAACAGTCAAGCACCACGCCTGAAATCCGAAGCCCTAAGCACTCTGAAGCCTCATCCCCGAGCCGCAACCCTAAACCCCAACCCTGAAGCCCTAAACCTTAACCCTCACCGTGTAGTGCGTCCCGTCACCAGCAGTCAGTGGCAGGCGGTGGCTGTCCCGCAGAGCGTGGAGGTGCGGAGGGTAGTCTGAGCGTTTAGGGTCTTAGGGTTTAGGGTCTGAGGTCGTGGAGCTTACAGGAAGGATATCTGCAAGTTTTGGCTGAGACTGCAGGGCTGGATCCTGCGCTTTTCCTTGCCTGAATTGGATGCTTGTGTCAGGTTCCTTGTTTCCAATGCAAGGTTCATATGATGTTAACCACCGCGCAAGCAAAATGTCGTGGAAGCTTCTGAGGGTGCGAGTCGAGGAACTAAGTCATAGGAGCGTGGAAATCATAGGGTTGAAGCTCCAGGCGTCGCAGGGTTCAATGGCTTGGGGAAACCTGACAATGTCTGGGTAATAACATGATAGCAGGCTCGGGTTTATGGAGTTGGCCTCCAGCTAGGCTCTTTGTGCCCCACCCCTCAAGAAGCGTCCGGTTCGGCTTCACTAAAGATTAATCTGTATTCATTTGGTAGTTTCCCAAAATCGGGGAGCCCTAACAAAGACACTATGTAAAAGTCTCTAATCCGTATTCTTGATACTCCCAAAAACATACCCTGTTTTTGGGAACCCCTATATGAGGAGGATGTGACTGTTTTAGGGTAGGGGCAGTCTTCAAGCCCTGGCAAACTCTCCGGCGGACGTTTGGGAGGATGTTGTAGGGTTGCTGTAGAACTCATAGCTGGAACCGCAGGCGCTTCATACACCATTTTGAAATGCGGGCATTCCGTCTTGTGGAGCACGCCCCATCAAAGTAGTTTAGCAGAGTAATGGGAAGTAAGTCTTTGAACTCTGGAGGATGGGAACCTTCATGCTATGGGAGATATGCCCCCTAATTAAGCCCTAAACCCTAAACTTCCTTCAAAGCAATCCGTGGGCAGCGGCCTTCACTCAGGGTGTTGTGTTTGGACTTCTTCCGGGGTTCAGGTACCCCTACAATGAAAACTGTCCCCTTTAATGCGCCGGTGCTTTCCCTAAGTCCTGCCGTAAGGTTCCTAAAGAACCCACTGGGTTGCTGTTAAGGAACTCAAGGTAAGTTACCACGATATGGGTATATACAGGTAATCATAGGGTTTCCTAATTACAGTATCTTCATTTAAGTGCCTTAGCAGCAACCAATGTAGGTAACATTTACAGACTTTAGTGCCCAATGAAACCCTAAACCCCAAACCCCAAACCCTAAACCCCCAAACAGCGTATTCAGTTTAACTGCCATAACAGCAACCCCCTGAAAAGACAGGAAATTCCACGGGTTCGGCGATGGAAGTCAGCCCTCATGCCGCCGGCAACCTGGGGGATGAGGGGATTTTCTTTCGGGTTTATTGCTTAGGGTTCCGGGTTTAGGATTTAGGGACTCGGATCTAGGGTTTAGATTTTTTGGGGGTTTGGCCCTGCATACTTCGAAGAATGGTGACTCAAATGGAAAAGGAAGGAACATTGAATGCGCGTCTGGCTTATATTGCGAGTGTTACAGGATTATGTAATGTAAAAGCCTGTTTAGCTAGAATGAAACTGAAGGACATAGTAGTTTAGGTGGACCCCCCACCCAGTAATAGTGACTATAAGGGATAATAGGGATTATATCAGGGTTCTCTTATATTCTTATTATACCACTATTACAGGATGGGGGGTCCTCCTAAAGTATACCATAGTTGCGTAAGGGTTATGAGGGGCTAGCATTTGTAATTTCTCAGACTTCTACATTGAGGTTTTAATCCTCTTCTCAAGGGTAGGGGTTCCAGAAAAATCCGTAAGTTGCCCTAATAGTTATTAACGTCGTCCCTCCACCCGTAATATTAAGTAAGCCGGACCACGAAAAATTATGCAATAAAGGGCTGGGGTGTCTGTACTACAAGAATTAGTCAGGGCTGCCTTTTACCTTAACGAATTCAAACCAATTAAAGTCTGATGAGGGGTAACTTAAATCAGTTGACATCGAAGTACAATCTAATGAAAAACGAACTAGATTCAATGGAAAACGGATAGCCCCCTAATTCAATCTTACTAGAGCCAACTGACACATAATTAAAAGACTTCATTAAATTCAGATGAGAAACTAATTATGATCTCCCTAAACCCTAAACCCTAAACCCTAAACCATTATGATCTGTGTGTGTGGGAGTTGGAGGTGCCTGGATTTATTCTTTGATATTCTGGGGGTTTCAATATTTGGGAGAGTTAATTACTAGGATCCTTGAACCCTTTAAACCCTAAACCCTAAACTCTAAACCCTAAACCCCTAAACCCTTAAACCCTAAACCCTCAACTCTAAACCCTAAACCCTAAACCCTACAATCGCAGGGTTTTGGGGTGGTTCCTCTCAAGCGTTTGCGGCTTCAGGTCTCTGAGGTTGAAGATTTTGGGGTGTGATGGGCTTGAGGCGTAAAGGGTCTACAATGTAGAGCTTTGGGGCTTTAGGGTTTGAGAGGGCGGGTTTCGGGTTTAGGTCTTCCCTGTTTAGATTTCCGTTTTGAAGAGTCTCATCACAAGAGTCTCATATCACAACAGTCTCATCACAAGGCTTGTTTATGTGTTACATAGCCATGGGCAACTTGTGAAATTCAAGATGCCGCAAGGACATGCGATCTTCCCAGAATTTTGCCACCCGTACAGCATGTACACACTAATTTAAGAGCTTCTATTTTGCAAGTCTGCATATGGCACCTAAGGCCTAGTCCCTAAATTCTAATCCCCAAGCCTGAAGCCCCGAAACCACAAAGTCTTAAAACATTAAGCCCAAGCTCGAAAATCTCACGCCCTGCAAAGCCTTTACCACCCCCCAGATTGAACAGCAGTAAGCCCACCTGCCTATGTCCTTTCTGGGGCGCCGCGTTGGTTTCGAGGAGGGTACCCCCTAGAGAAATGCTCCAACCTGAAACTCCAAAGTCTAAGCCCTGAACCCTAAACCCTACTTGGAGGCCCATGGGACTTAGTAAATACTTATAACTGGGATTATAACCCTACTTATAACTGGGGTAACCCTTATAAGCCCATTTAGGGGGATTTTAAGTAGAGTTATAAGCCCAGTTATAAGGGGTTACTAAGTCCCATGGGCCTCTAAGTACACCTTCAATGCAAGAGCCAAGCCCAGAAGCTCCACGGCAAACCCTAATGTAGAAAACTACTTGTTAATATTGGTGTTTAGAGCGCAGGGCTATTACCCCAATGATGTAGTATCACTTTGAAAAGAACATGGTTCATGAAATCAATGGTTCGTTTTCCATGTGACTCTCCACCGTTGGAGGAATATCCCAAACCCCGCGCAACAGAAGGGGTTCTCCGGAAGATCCATGCGGGCTTTACGTATGTTATGCAGCGTGAAAGGTACAGAAACTACTGCCTTTTGCAGTGTATTTTGCTTGCAGGAGTTAGCGTGTTCAAGGAACGGAGGGTGATGACTATACGGAATTTTCTTGTGAAATCCCGCGCGCAACTTTGATTGAAGATGAGAATGTTGTGCGTTTTAGGAATCAAAATGTGCAAAAACGCATGGTTTTGTCAGACTCCGAATGAGAAGTGTTATGTCGCACACTCAGAAAGTGCGAAGGTGCCTGGCCAGATTTAGACCCGGCTCCAAAGTACTGCGTTTTACAGGTCGAAAAGGATGTAGCAAACGAAACACAGCGGTGATAGGCAGGCTTTTTTCTGTGTTCGCGCGATCAGAAGCTGTATATGACATGCATTCTGTCCCACTGCGCGCGGGGTTTTTGCCTCAGGGCTCCCGGAAAGGACATAGACTTCGTCCCACTGGGCGCAGTGTTTCTGGTACTTCGATGCACTTGCAATATGAACGTTATGATGGCTTGGGCATGGATGGTCTGGTAATGGGATGCTCTCGAACGTGAACGTTCTTATAGCTTGGGCAAGGATGTTCTGATAATGGGATACTCTCGAACATGAACGTCATTATGGCTTGGGCATGGATGCTTTGGTAATTGGACGCTCTCGAAAACGAATGCGGTGTTTTTGCATGAGGGCTCCCGAAATACTGCGTTTTACAGGTTAAGATGGCTGCGGCTGAAGGGACCGTAATATTCCCCCCCGCAATCCCCCCACCACGCCCCTTCAAACTTCCAAGCCGAGCCAAACTTGACGCGGTTGATGAGACCTGCGCTGTGGGAGAACCATCCTGAACCCTACGTCCCAATCCCTAAACATAACCCCTACACATTCCCTATAAACTCTTTGTAACATTCCACATCCCTACCCTTCAGAAGTTCAAAGAAAGCTAGGCCCTAAACTCTAAACCCTGAATCTAAACCCTAAGTCCTAAACCCTAAATCTAAATCGTAATCCCTAAATCCTGAGCCCAAAACTCAAACCTTCGAAACTTCAAATGAACCCAGGCTGTGGCTGGACGTTTCTCCAGAGAAAGCCGCGGACTCTCCGTGCCATGGCCGTAATGGCTTTAGGGTTTGGGGTTTAGGATTTAGGGTCTAGGTCTTGGGGGTTTAGCTTAGGAGGTTGAGGGTCTAGGGTTTAGTGGGTTGAGGGTTTTGGGGGGATCAGGGTTTGGGGGCTTCAAGGTTGGGGTTTAGGGTTTAGAGCGTTTAAGGTTAAGGGTTTGTGGGATCAGGGTTTGGGGTCTTGGGTTTACGGCTTACCTAACCGCTAAACCTTTATAAGGGGAGGGCATATCAACTCAATGAGTTTAGGCTTCGGGGTTTAGGGTTTTCCGGGTTTGGTGATGTAGGATTTTAGGGTTTTAGGTCCGCGTGACTTAGGTGACTTAAGTCAAGGATTTACGCTTAGCAACGGTTAGGCCAGGAGGGGCCTACCAGCTAGGGTTCTGGCAGAAGTTTGGGACCCCGGCAACAACGATAGCATAAAGATGCTTGTGAGAAAAGACTATTTTGCGTTGTTGTGACCAAGATGGACCTAATTGAGTTGGGTCCCAAACCCTAAACGGAATGGGTTTCGTGTCGGATGGCTTGGCATCCTCAGACGCCGTAGTGCCGTAGGGTGGGTGATGAAAGAGCTGGCTGCACTTCGCATATAGCGATGCGTGAGCTTTGGAAACCCAACCTTGAATGCCACCGCGACATTTCCCCACAAACCTTACACCGTAAACCCTGAGCCCTAAACCCTGAGCCCTAAGCCCCCAAAAATGAGTTGATGCCAGGTCTGAGCTTGCGAAGACGGCACCAGCGGCAATGTGCCCCTGCCCAGTGCAAGGGTTGCAGACTAGGCTGTAGGGTTGGGGGTTGAGATTTAGAAGATTTTAGTGTTTAAGGTTTAGCGTATAGGGTTTAAGGCTTGGGGTTTCGGTTTAAGGGTTAGAGTTAGAGTCTAGGTTTAAGGGTTTAGGGATTTGGGTTCACGGTTTAGGTTTTTAGGGATTAGTGTCTAGGATTCAGGGCGTATAGCTTGAGGTTCGGGGTTAGTGTTTAACTGCTCACGGTGTAGGGCTTGGGAGCGCAGGTCGTAGGTGGCCCTACATCCACCTATGCTACCCCCTACGTTTCTCCGTAATCAGCTTTGATTAGCTTCTATTGTCGGGAAGTAACCTTAATTAAGGGCTGCAGTAGTATGGGGTCAAGGGTGGTAGGGGAACCCATGACAAGTGACGGCCGGCTTTGTGACTTAGTAGGATCTATCAGGGGGTTATCTGAGGTTTATCTTGGCACAGATACGCGGGGGGAGCATTATCATTGTGTAATCCGAACATGCCCATCCGGTTTATGAAGGAATTAACCCTAAGCCCTAGGGCCCTAAACCCTAAACCCTAACCCTGAGTGGCCGCGTAAGCAGCTCAAAATGATCGACCTGCCAAAGTCTTTCTGAAGATCCACGTGGGAACTCCAGTTTCGAGGCTGGACTCGCACGATATCTGGGGTTTAGGCCGTTTAGGGTTTAGGGTTTGGCCTTTTAAGGGGATTATAGGCTTTACATAGGGATAATGGAGAATAAAATGGAAACCAACATGGAAATTACCATTTAGGGTTTAGCGTTTAGGGTTGAAGGCTTAGGGCATAGGGTTTAGGCCTTAGGGCTCAGGGCCACACTAAGGGTCCAAGGACTAGCTAAAACTTCCTGGAGTTTCTGAAAAATGGGTGGGCATGTTTGGTGCTCCCTCTAATCAGGATCCCGTTTAGACCCGTAAATGTTTTGTGAACCTTTAACCCTTAACCCTGAACCTTAAACCTTGGACCCTACACCTTAAACCCTAAGCCCTAAACCCTAAACTTAACGCATCCCGGGGCCCGTTAAAACCTTGAACAACCCAAGGTTTAGGTTTGAGGGTTAGAGAGCCCTACAGCAAAAGCCGTAAACCCCGAACCAAAGATCTTAAACCCTGAAGCCTAAGTTCTAGACTGCCTTCGACCCCTACACCATAAGCCCTCATTCCTAAGCCCTCAACCCTAGACCCTAAACCTCAAACCTCAAGCCATCATTCGTCATCCCCTACTCAGCAAGTTCCCTAACAGCAAACACCCCAACCCCCCATAGAAACTGATATACTCAGTAAGGTACTGATGCCGGGGTAACTCTGAACCTTAAACACTGAAACCTGAATCCTAAACGGTATCCCCGCCAAAACAGAATCTCGTAATATACCTACCTAGATTGCGTGTAGGTGACTACTCCCCTCCCCCTAACATAATAATCATGAATACTCCCCCGCGAAGATATAGGTGGGCTGTGTTTGGGGGTATTGATTATCAAGGGATGGGGAGTGTTTTTTATTCGGGGCAACCCTAAACCTGAACCCCGAAACCCTAAACCCTAAACCTTCAACCCTAGACCCTCAACTCTAAACCTTAACCCCTAAACCCCTAACCCTAAACCTTCAACCCTAGACCCTTAACTCTAAACCCTAAACCCTAAATCCTAGATGATCACCCGCCAGGTCTGCTGATTGCGGCGAGGTTACAGCGGCTCCCGGCTCAGCTTGGGGCATATGAGCCATAGTCTAAACTCCTCAAGGGGGGTTCTATAGAGGATTATATAGGGTTTAGGGCTTGCAAGTTAGGGTTTAGGCTTTAGGGTTTAGGGTCTAAACACTTTAAGGGGCTATATAAGGGAATATATATATATATGTATAGGGGACTACTAAAGGGCTGATTGAATCGAAGGGAATACTAGGAGTTAAGACTATAGCTCATATGAGGTAGGGCTCAGGAAAAATGTGAAAAGGGATATGCAGGGGGAATTTCGGGATATGTAGAGAATATGTAGGGTCGTATGGGGATATGCGGGGAAGAATAGGGATATGTAAGGATGGTGTAGGGCAGTGTTCAGGTCGTGAGATATTTGGCAAGCCTAAGAATGGAGCATCAAATCAAACATGAAATTGAACGTGGCGGTTCATCGGGACATATGGCAATGCCCTGAACCTTAAACCCGAAGAGTTCATTACAGGGTTTTGGTACCCCATCCTCCGAAAGATGGATCCTATGAGATGCGAAAATCCTCTCGCTCAGTTCAGGGTATGTGTATGGAAGTCCTCAGGGGCCTTTGGGTTTAGGGTTTAGTAGTTTTAAATTGTTGGACCCCATTTCATATGAGCCCGAACTGGGCTGCGGTTACGGAACGTATTGCAGTCTAATAGCCCTCCCTCATCACAAATATTCACTCGACGCGTATTTCTGTCATGATGGGAATATGTCCGGGGTTTGTGGGCTTGTGTGCTGTGACATGATATGGTTGATTCTAAGCCGAAACAGGAGGCTTGGCTTGCATCTTGTTTGAGGCCTGAGGTGGACATGGAGGTGTGTGGTATTTACAGCTCGGAAAAGAATCCTCTAAGGTCTCGGAGTTTGGACCCTAACCATAAACCCTGAACCCTAGGTTTTACAGCTTTTGAAACTCCAGGACCTTGAAGCGAGAAGCTAACCCCTAAACCACACGCCCCCAACATGCACTGCGCAAGGTTGAAGCAATGGGTTTAGGGCTGACCTGGGAACCCAATCGCATAGCAGCGTGGGCTGCAAGACGAGCTGGACGGCACCGCATGCAACGCACACGTCCGAATTGACATTAAGGCGCAAGGCGCTGCACGACAAGTACCACGACTTGACCAATTGGCCTCAGGCTGGCACGTATCTCTGCACACTGTTCGAGTCGCTGAAGCAAGACGTCCCACGACATTGGGCAGCACCACCGCATCTTTGCAAGAAGAAGTCCGCACGCAGTTCATGGCAACAGACTTGCAGGAATCCCTTTCGCAAGCAGGCGCAGACATCAAACAGCTCTGGCTTCGGCTGGGGCACGCGCTACAAGTCATGGGAGCACGTATTGCTTCCGATGACTAGCATGCAGTTTTCCGCAGGCTGGCCGCTTGCTATGACTTATCCCAGTGTGGTTGTTACTCCACTTGTGGCAGGCAACTACACCCAGCGGATTCTACGGCCTTGCTACCTTAAGTACATTCAGCCTTCCCACCGTCATTGCTTCGCAGGCCTGACGAAAGAAGCCAACAACTCTTTACACCTTAAACCCCAATCCCATCAAAGCCAAAACCTGAGCAACACCAAGCAACAGCTGAGCAACACCAACACATGCAGACGCCCTGAGCAAGTCGTCAACCCATCCCACTCAGCCCTTAGAAATGCAGCGGTTAAGGGTTCAGGGCACTACATGCCCATTACCCTGTTGCGATTCCATCGGTTTCTCATACTGCCTAAGCTCTAAATAGATCCCGGGCCTTATCTCCAAAACCCGGAAACCTTAAATCCAGAGACCGTAAATCCTTCATCCAGAACCCCAAGACGACTAACCGAAGACGACCCTAAAACCTAAACCCTACTCGGTTTAGGGTTTAGGGTTAGGGCCTACATCCCAATCTGAGGGCTTAAGGCCCAAACCCTAGATCAGAAACCATAAGCTCTGCACCCGAAAACCCTAAACCCTATAAAGCCCCATACAACCCTCAACCCTAAACCCGATGTAACGCGCAAACCGCGCATTCTCCCTAAACCCTAAACCCCTAAACCCTTAAACCCTAAACCCTTAAACCCTAAACCCTAAACCCCCTAAACCCCTAAACCCAAATCCCCCCATTAAAGACGGGAAGGTCACGGTACCAGAGGCCCCTGAGGCGGACGTCGCTGATGAGCTGCAAGGCTTGGTTGCGGCACGTGGGGTATAAGGGGGTTTCCCAAAGGGTTTAGGGTTTAGGGTTCAGGGTTTAGGGTTTAGGGTTTGGGTTTAGGGTTTAGGGTTTAGGGTTTCCCAAAATTAGCGTTTTTGGGGGTCCCTATAATAAGGACTATAGTATTTTGGGGTCTATATAGGGGTCCCCCGTATTTTGGGAAACTACCATAGTTTAGACTCCTTCAAGGTGGCTTAGGGTTTAGGGTTTCGGGGTATATAGGGGATCATATATGGGAGCATTATTGGGGCTATTAAGGGGGATACTAGGAGTTTGGACTATAGCTCACGCGAGGGTTCATAGGGTCTATAGGCTTTGAGGTATGTAAGGTTGAGAGTTCAGGGCTTAGGGTTTAGGGTCTAGGGTTTATAGGGCCCCAAAACTCCCAAACCCCTCAACCTTGGGTACTGCCCCCACTCAGTAACAGTTGGATAATAGTTATGCTATATTTATATCTAGCCCTTAATATGGCCCCTAGTAGAGACAGTTACTGGGTGGGGGCAGTACCCAACCTAAACCCGAAACCCCTAAACCGCGTCAAGGCGCAGATGCCTTGCAAGCCTCGCCATCGCTTGCAGTTCCGCCCGAGAGGGAGCAGCAGGAGCTGTGATCACGCGCTCATAGATGTAAGGCTTTGCAGGAATTAGGTCTCTTTTGGGGACCCTATAGTACTGATTATAGTATGATGGGGTCTACATGGGGGTGCCTGATTCGTGGAAAACGCCAACGAGAGATTTTTGTTGATGTTATAAAAACATCTTGAATGGCCTTAGCATACGAGAATACCATGATTCCCAACGTGGACTTGTGTTCTATGTCAATTCATGCAGGCTTTTTGATACCAACCATGTTACCAGGGATGCGGATGGTACAAGGTCATCCTTGCAAAGCTGCCAGACCCTGAACCCTAAACCCGAAACCCCTAACCCCTAACCCTTAACCCTAAACCCTAAACCCTAAACCCCGGAGCCTCGAGTAGCTCTACTGTGTAGTTTTTGAGGGTCTGCGACTTGAGGGCGCTCTTGGCTCTGGAGAGATGCCAACATAAAAAGTGATGTTGAAACATTGGCGCAGGGAGTTTAGGGTTTAGGATGTAGGGGTTAGGGGTTAGGGGTTAGGGTTTAGGGGTTTCAGGTTTAGGTTAAAACTGGGGTTTTGGCTGCACTTCTGCCGGGGCATCCTAAAAATGAAGCCGAACCCCTAAACATGTTTGCAATTGTGCATATACCTTGTCCAGACACAGCCGTCATCTGATACAAGCTCCCTATTTCTTCCTTCCTTCTTGTTCCAAAGTTCCCTTTCCAAATCTCTGGGAGAGTTGCTTCCCCCCTCCCTTGGGTCAGAGTCTATGGCTTAAGGCGGTTGGGGGTTTTGGATTCTAAGGGTCTAGGGCCTACCACTATGGGCTATTAGACCTTAAGGGTACCTTAATCTACCCCTAATAGGGTTGATAAGGAATTTTGAGGTTTAATAGCCCATGGTGGCGGGGTTCCGGGGATCTTCTCCATAGCAATGGTGAGAACGAAGTCGACTTATGAGACACCTGAATTTTTTTGGTCAGAAAATCTACAAATCTGAAACTTCGTCTTGGGTCTCATACCTACCTAGACCCTCTCTGTACCCTGAATACCCACAAGTATAGGGACCATATACCCCTATTCAAGGGTACAAGGAGGGTCCTGTAGTCAAGTCCTTCGCATGGCTGAAACCTGAATGATCTGCAGATTGCATCACGGTCGTCAAGGAAGCCAGTTGGAGGATGTAAGGTGCCCACTGGTCTTCTCCTAGGATCCGCAACTTACAGGTGGCCACTAGGGAAGGGAACAGAGGAAAAGACCATGCAAGGGTTGCATAAAGAGATTCTAGAGGTATCCATCTCTCCACTCGTACAAGACCAGCGGTAGGGCAACAAAACCCTAAAGCCCTACGTAACCCTGATACCCTGACCCCTAAGTCCTAAAACCCTAACCCGTAAAACCCTAAACTTGAGTCCTACTGTCCGTTTTGGGGCTCAAGTTCGAAGTGTCACACTTGTCACTGGGACGCCAATCTGGCTGATGGTTGGACATTTTGTGAAGACCAATACTTAGTGTTCAGAAACTTTACAGTTTTGGCATTTGGGGCTGTACGGCTGAGGGAAAGTATGACTCAAAAGAATGATGAACCAGAAATAAAGCCAGCTCAAAGCACCAAGATCTGAATTTTCAATCCCCTAAACCCTAAATCCTAAACCTTAAACCCACGAACCCTAAACCCCAGACCAAGCCTAGGCTGTTGTCAAGAAGCTACAGTTGCCTACAGGAAGCGTAGTGTCAGCAGAGAGCGATGTTACGGGTTTAGTGTTCTGCGCAATTCCATTTTCCAAACTCTGTCCATATGCTTGGAGTTTAGGCTTGAGGTTTTAGGGTTTAGAACTAGAATTTCAGCACATGGTACGCAGAGCCCATACACAAGTTGTTCGGGCCCCAAACCCTGAAGGATTGAAACCTTAAACCCCAAAATCTAAGCCCCAAATCATACACTCCGAATCCTGAATCCCAAGCTCTAAACTCTAAACCTCAAACCCTAGACCCAAAGCACCAAGTTCTAAACCGCAAATCCTATGTCCTAAGCCCTCAATCCTAAACCCTAAGCTCCCAAATCGTCCAACTGTGGAGGAGGTCATAGTCAAAGTTGCCCCGCTCTCCGAGCTTCCGGTGCCTGCTGCACCCATCAGGCGGCTGGACGGGATGCTTGCAGGTTGGTTTACGGGTTATGCAGGGGTATATGGGGTTATATAGGGATGATTTCTACACCCTAAACCCTAATAACGGAGTAGAGCACGGAAACTTATTACTGCATGACTTGGGCTCTAAACCTCAGACCTAAAACGGTTTAGGGCTTGGAGGGTTTTAGGGTTGATGGTACGAGATGCGGAATTTAGGGTTTAGGAATTAGGGTTTGGGGTTTGGGGCATTCCAGCATTTTCTACCGACAACCTGCACGTTCGGGGAATGGGCTTTGCGGTTATAGCTGAGTATTGGGGGTTGCAGTGTGGGGCTTGGGAAGTAGGAATTAGTGTTCGTTTTGGGTTTTGGGGATTAGCGGCATTTGGGTTCATGGTGTAGAGTTTCAGGTTTGCAATTTGAGGTTGGGGTTTGGGGTTAGGACCGACTGATAAGGACTAGGCACTTGCAAGAGTAGGGGTGTCCTTGTGTGGAACTTATGGGGGCGCCATACCAGACCTGGAGGTTCCGGGACTATCTCACGTAATGAGGAGGATTGTCTGAGACTGCACAACGTCTTGCACAAAGAGGGTTTAGGGCTCTGGAATCCAAGAGCACTTAAGAAGGCTACAGGAATGGGGCGCTGGGCAGCCATGGGCCTTGTAGGTCCATTGTAGGTAGTAGGAAGTTCAGGGATTGAAGGGTTTAGCTGGGTAGGTTTTGGGAGGTTTAGGATTTCCAGCCTCTTCTCGTGTTCCTTGGAGGGAGAACGGCAGTCAGGAAACTTGATGCATTTTTCCTGTGAAGAAGGATGGACTCACAGCTCTTCTATGTGACCCAGGAGTAAGTTTCGATTCTCTGAAACTCTAGAACTTTCAACGGAGGCCAAAAGCATAACTTTAGCTAGGTTGCCTGGTCCAATCCTGTGCATGGACGTATATCCCAAGCCCCAAGGCCTGTCAATTCCTAAACATTCTGAGAGCAATGTCCATTTTCTTTTTCATCCCCACCCACCCCCCATATATTGGGGCTGGTCACTATTGTTATTAAGCCGAGTAGTAGTATAATTACTTTTATTCCTATCATCCTGAAGCCGGCCGCTTCGCTTTGCCAGGAGACCGGTGCTTGAAGTGCAACAATCGCCCTCGGTAGACGCTCGTCGGGTCTAGAGTTTAGGGTTTAGGGAGCTCTGAACCCTAAAACCTTTAGGCAGAACCCCTAACCCCTACGCCCGAAGCCCGAACATTTTCCCTTAGCCTTCCTAGGTGGGATTCTAGGAGGGCCCTTTAGAGTACGTAGTTCTTATGGGGAATACACCGGAGACTTTTTTGGGACATTCCCTCTATATAGAGTACAGGAGGTCCCATGGTTTTCCTAAATCCTAAGCGCTATAGGGTTAGACCCTAATCCCTAACCCTAAACCTTAAACCTGAACCTTAAACCCCTCCTTCTCCGTCGGCCAAGGAGATGCGCGGCGGCCCGGCAGCACTTGCTGCTGGTGCTTTGGGGCTTCTCCAGGGTTTAGGTGGAAGGCTTAGGGTTTTGGGTTTACGGGGTGTAGAGCGTAGTTGGGGGATCAGGGTTTATGGGCTGATTTCTTTGAAGGCTTAGTGGTTACAGTTCATGGCTTAGGGTCTCGGGTTCAGTGATTGAGGCTGTAAGGTTTGAGGCTGGTTTTCTTTGCCAGGATGTCCTTCGTTTTGGGGCTCTCGTGCACTTGTCACAGGCATACTTACTTGCGGTTTGAAGGGGATATCGCAATGTAATTCCTACATAATCCCTATATGAGATATTTCCCTATTCCCTACCAATCCCCAGTATATGTGCAGTCGCTAGCAACAGGTAGGGATCCAAGATCCCCTAAACCCTAAACCCCAAACTCTAAACCTTAAACGGCGTGGGTTCAAAGTACCTGTGCAGAGGCAGCTACGGCTACAGGTTTCAGGTGGATTGGGTCAGGCAGTTCCGCAATTTATCCATACTGGGTTGCTTTTAAGGAACTTCAACTAAGTTACCATAATATGGGTATATCGTAAGTCATAGGGTTTCCTTATTTTCATAACTTGGCTTAAGTTTCTTTACAGCAACCCAGTATATCATTTTCAGAAATTAGGTTCGTGCGGGTCACTACAGTTTGAGGCACCTAGCACCTGAAGAGTTATGCATCTTTGCGTAGGGCATGCTCTCCTCGTGCGCAAGCTGCACGATCCTGAATCCTTGCAACCTACGACCCAAACCCTTGACTCTGTTGACAGATGTCCATACCCTGGAGCTCCCTGTACGTACCCCACATGCTCCAAATTCACCCCTAACTCCTGAAACCTGCATATACGAGCCACAATAATTATGAGAGTGGTTTTGTGGCAATCATATGCAACTGTTCCGAGGGATATGATTGGTAACAGTTCAGGCCTCCATACCTTACACCCCTTGCAAAGCAGTACATAAAGCGACCCTGAATCTTGGAGGCCTCAACCCTGCATACCCCCGTATAGCCTACAAAGCCCACGAAGAATTAAATCTTTGTAAAGGAACAAACCCGTACAGGCTCCAAATTTGAAGCTGCCTCCCTCGTGCCTCAGTGTGGATTCCACAGCTCCCTTGCCTGGATTGCTGTTAAGGAACTTAAGTTGCCATAATGGGTGTTTCTATCCATCTATCTACATATATATCTGTATATATATATAGTAGTTAGTATGGTTTCTCCCCAACATAGTAACTTAGCTAATGTTCCTTAACAGCAGCCCAGTAAACCCTACAGGCGGTGCAGATTCTACCGCGGCCTGCGCCGAGACCCGACAAGGTGCCAAGCTGCTGGAGGACATGGGGGTCTTGCCTTACTGATGGCGAGGGTTAAAGTTTCAGGGTTTAGGGTTTATAGGATTTAGGGCCTGATCCCTAAACCCTAAACCCTAACTAACTGTCAGGAAAACACCCGACGCCTGCGCGAGAACTTGCAGCGGCTACGACTGGAGAATCGCCGCCATCGAGGCGCACGGGTTGTGGGTTCAGGGGTTTAGGGTTCAGGGGTTTGGGGCTTAGGGTTTAGGGTTTGGGGCTCAGAAGTTAGGATTTAGGGTTTAGGGTTCAGAGGTGAGGTGCTGCAAGGCTGCAAGCACTGCACCAAGCACTGCACCCAGCATTCCTTTTTAGGGAGTATGTCAGGAATAACAGGTTTTCCTACAGGGCTCTCAAGGGGGAATGAGATTGAAAAAGCAGAGCAGGGCTGCATCGTCCCTAATGTAGACCCATGATTAATGCACCCCCTCCTTTTACTGGCCTGAATATTAGGATCCCAAGTATGATCCCGATTAAGGGAAGGGGGTTTGTTAATCAGGAGTCTACATTGCCCCTAAACCCCAAACTCTAAACGCACTGCTGCATGCGTCCCATGTTTTGTGTACCTGCCTTCAACAACTGGAAAGGCTTCTGCCTTGCTTTTTGTGGCAAAAGTTTAGGGTTCAGCGTTTAGGGGTGT